CACACAAAAAGAGGATGATGTGGCTTTTGTTGCAGCTGGACAGGATGTGGCTCCCGTTCACTCACTCTCTTCTCCGTTCCCTCCTCAGTTACAACGGCGGGATCTGCGTGGACGGAGTCAACTGGTTCCTGTGCGAGTGCGCCCCCGGCTTCGCCGGACCAGACTGCAGAATCAGTGAGTGTCGCCGTCGTCGTGGTACAACCTGGTTTTTCGCACATTTGATTGAAAGCATGCGTGGAGCCAGAAAGGCATGAAGACCAGAGGGGGGGGCAGCGGGGGAGAGGCATCCAGGAGATGGACACATTGACACCTAAATGCGAGGCCTGGCGCCGCCCTCTCCCCTTTTTCCTCTGTCCTTTAACGCCATGGGGGTCAGAGGTCGTCCCTCCTCCATGCTCACACAGTCACACAAACACACAGTGAGGACAAATTACCCAGTGACCCTGAAATTCTTCCTCCTCCTCGCCCTTTGTTCGGGGCCGGACCGCTTTCACCTTTGCTGTCAGGCTTGAATTTGAAAATTCTCATCCAGTTCGTGTTCATGTGAAATCTGGACGACACAATGGGCCGGGCGTCTTTGAGAGCGCGGTGCGGGGACGCAAGTGATGCATGTCCTTTAGAGGACACGGCGGGCGCTGATTATAAAAGAAGGAGTTGATCATTAAACACGGGCGCTGTTTAACCAGCGTTGTCCAGTTGGCGGAGAAGCCGACCGGTTTCCGGAGTTGTCGGTTGAATCGATGTGAAGTGTTGATGACGGAGCAGGTTTGAAATTAGAACTGGAACTCACCGTCGTTAGCATTGACCGTAATGACGGCTCTAAATGTTAATATAGGGCAGTGATCCTGAGGGTTTTCTGCACCGCCCCTCCCTTTGTGGAGGTTAGGACTATTGTAGAGCCCCCCCCCAATCCCCTCCTCCTCCCACTGCAGCTTATTTGTATTTTAACAAAATACTACAAACCTGATGTCCTCATTATTGAACAATAGAAATGGAACTACACATCAGTGCAGTTCCTTCATTGTGCCAGAGAAAAAACAAATAGTCAATGTAAAATTAACTTGCATTGTTGCCCCTCAACAGCGCCCTCTGTGGGACCTTGTCGCCCATTTTGGGAACCACTGATAATTGTGCAACGTTGTACAATCTGCCATTCTGCCATTTCTTTTTTTTAAATGTTATATATATTTGTCTTGAACCTGCGGAACTCCAGGTGAACTTTGTTTGCAATAATCATTGGTGGAAACTGTCCATGGGTCAAAGTAGGCTTTTAAATTTAGTTGAGGTTTTCGGCCAGTATTTGCTTCGTATTTTCAGGTGCAGACCCATTAACTCCTGCAAGTGTCGGTCCTCTCAGCCCGCGGCCCTTATGTTGACTTTTACCTTTAGAGGATTGTTGACAACCCTTTCACATGTACTTTGTTGAAGAAATTTTATATCTTTATTCTGTCATTCAAAATCAACGAGGCGGTTTAGATTATTTTCAGTACGATTTTTTTTTTAAAGTTCTGTGAACTTTAGTAGTGAAAAGGCCGGAAGTGTCTCTGGAGACACGAGCTGGAGAGATGTAAAAATGACCGAACAAACGGTTTGAGGTGTCAGGTCTCAGCGGTGACTGACGAGTGTCAGTCGCTTGTCTGTTGGCAGTCCCATCGACTGTCTGTCAGAGAGCCTATGGAACAGACAGGGCCTGAAGAAACGCTGTGCTTTGTCTCCCCCCGTCCTCACAGACATCAACGAGTGTCAGTCTTCGCCCTGCGCCTACGGAGCCACGTGCGTGGACGAGATCAACGGCTACAGGTGCATCTGCCCGCTGGGACGAACGGGAGCTCGATGTCAGGAGTGTGAGTCTACGTTTTAACTTTCTCAACCATCGGAGGTTCTTTTCCTTCAGTCCCGGTCTCTAAATCAGGTGTTTTTATTTTTTTTGTGGACAGTCATCGGCATCGGGAGGAACTGCCACTACGCTGGGCTGCAGTTTCCTCACGGCAGTCGCTGGGAGGAGGAGTGCAACAACTGTCACTGCATCAACGGCAAAGTGCAGTGTACAAAGGTAAATATATAGATATATATTTATATGTATATTTATATATGTAAATAGATACATATTTATTTAGATGTGTATATATGTACATATTTTTATATATGTAAATATATATATTTAGATGTGTATATATTTACATATTTTTATATATGTATGTATATATATTTTTCTGACCTTGAGTTTTGCTGAAACGTGTTCTTTCCAGTTGACAACTAATATTTATGTTTGTTAATAAATCCATTGTTTGTGTGTGTGCGTTTGTGTGTATTTGTGTGTGATCAGGTCGTGTGTGGTCGTCGCCCGTGTCTTCCCCAGTCGTCGTCTTCTCAGAGTCAACCGTCCTGCCCGGCTGGACATGAGTGTTTGAAGCACAACTTCTTCACCTGCTTCTCCCCCCCCTGCCACCAGTGGGGGGTCTGCTCCACGTCGGGAGCCTCCCTCCCACAGGTCACCACCAAGTGCCAGCCGAACAGCGGGCATTTGGACAACAGCTGTGTGCGGATGACGCTCGTCTTCAACCGGGACAAAGTACCGGCGGTGAGTCACGTCCTCCTGGGTGATGATGTCAGAGGATTTGTGGTTTTGGACATGAACCTGATGAGTGATGTTCTTCACACTGCAGGGAACGACAGTGGAGAACGTCTGCTTCGAGCTGACGTATCTACCTGGAATCCGAGGCTTGGCACAGGACCACGCTCTTCTGCTGCTCTGCGACCGCTCTCATTCCAATCAGGATTCTGTTGAGGTGGCGATAGTAAGTGAAAAAGACTCTCTAGAGGGCGCTGTATAACTGAAGCTTCTCAAAGACTACTGAAGTCCAGAGTATCTTGAGCTTGGCTAACAGAGCTGCTCCTCGTTCATAACTGCTGGTCTATGGTCTCCAGGAGAGACAGAACGCAGAAGTTGCCCAACAAATCTGTGGCAATCCAGTCAAATGTGTCATTTTCATCTGGTCATTGAGTTTATATAGATCCAAATGAAAGGGAAGAAAGTATTAAACTTACTTAAACATGTGGAGATTCAAACAGATTCTGTAAAAGTCAGAAGTCCCTGGCTGTGTGTACTGACACTCCTGTACCTTTCCTGAGATTGAGGAAAGAACCATCAGGTTCCTTGAACATGGTTCTAGAAAGTCTGAGAACCCAACACGTGATGAATCCTTTTTCTTTTGTGCTGCTTCTGCCTCAGTCGTTCCACCCAGAAGATCTGAAGGACCACAGTCTGATCAGGATGGTGGCCAGCGCCATAGAAGGAGCCTTAACACGGTGGCACAACAGTACCACAATGGCAGCGGTGACGGAGGTCAGAGTGGAAACACAGGTCACACACCTCTCAGTGGGTAAGTACTGATTAACAGAGGCGTCCCACAGGGTTCCGTCATTGGCCCCTCTGTGTTTGCTGATTCATCCTTTGTACATTTTGCGTCTTTCATGTCAACAGATTACCTGGTGCCCTTGCTGTGTGTCCTCTTTTGTCTGCTCTGCCTCTTCTGCATCATTGTCTGCATTTGGTGGACGCGCAAACGGAGAAAAGAACGAGAGAGGAACAACCGACCGGCGACGGACGAGAACGTGAACAACCAGTGGGAGCCCGTGCCTCTGGTCATGGGACGGCAGCAGCTCAAAGAAAGCAACAAGGAGGCCGAGCAGGAGCGTAAGAGGCTCATGGAGTCCTCCTTTCGGACGTGTGATGGAGCGGAGGAGGGGGAGGAGGAAGACGAGGAGGAGGAGGAGGAAGAAGAAGAGGAGACGGAGGCTGAGTTTGAGTATGAGGAGGAGTGCGAAGGAGCAGTGGGGCAGGAGCAGCCCGTCTATAAGTATTCTAAGACTACAGTGCAGTCCAGCGGGGGGGTGATCTGCACCCTGCACAGCTCCCCGTCACCTCTCAAAGATCCCCACCGAACCCTAGGCTACAGCACCAAAGACATCCACTGGAAAAATGTCAGTGCGGTCCAGGAACTAAGAGACCACTGCGTATAAGACACGTCGGAGAAAAGAATTCGCCACGTGGCAGCGAGAGACTCCGCGAGTCTGCAGCCAATCGTTTTTTTGGTTGTGTTTTTTTTTTCACCCTAATTTTGAAAAAGAAAACCAGGCTTTGTGTTTCAACAAGCTCTTCTTTGTTTTGACGTTTTGGTCAGTGTCACCTGAAGCTGTTTGTTTTTGTTGGATTCAGAAAGCTGGAGCACAGTGAACATCTTTTTTTTTGGCTTCTGTTTGCCTATATTTCTTTAACTTTGTACAGCAAGAGGTGACGTTTATTTTTATTTTCCTGAATGGAGGCAGAAGACGCTCTCTGCGATATTTCTTTTTTGTTCATGGATTTGTACCAGGCACAGTAAAGAGGAGTCACAGAAAAACAGATGAAACTACAACTTGTATATCCGTTTTGTTTTTTTGTTTTTTTTTCTTTTGGTTTTGGTTGATAGATTATGATTTGGTTGGACTTGTCTACCAGGGGGAGACGGATATTTCTTAAAGGGACAGTGATGGAAGAGCTTTAAGAGGAGAAACCGTATAGTTGCAGCCACAGCGACAGTAGAAAACCTTCCCATCGCTCTGTCTCTGTGCAGCTTTGTCCACATGTGGCCGTCATGCACCTGCCTTACCAAAATACTCTCTGGCCTGGAGGGGGGAGGGGACCCAAACCCCAGTGCCTACTATGTGGCCTTCCATTGTTTTCTAAGTGTTTTTTTTTTCTCCCGTTTCAGTTGTTTTGGCTGAAAGCTCTGTTCGAGGACTTTTTTGCAGTATTTGAGTTGGTAGCAAGTGCCTTTACTGAGAGCTGTGTCCAAGCTCCGAGTCGCGCTGCCCGGTTTCACCTCCTCGGTCTCATATCACAAAGGGATGTTAGGTTCAAACACAGGAAAGAGAGTTCAATTTCACAGCAACGCCATTTAAGGTATTTGATCGAAGCAGAAACAAATACACTGTACATACGTGTAAATACTAAAGGAGTCGCTGTGTATATTTGAAATAAGTAACTTAAAGACAAGTCACACATTTTTATTATTAATATTTTTGTTATTATAATTAATATTATTCTTATTTCGTTTCTCTTTTTTTTTTTTTTTTTTTTTACAATGCCATTCCTTTTATTTATGCCAGTCGAAGTAGGCAGGTTTTATAACACTTCATATCCAGTTCCACAGTCAAGTACTTCCACCGTGAGGTCCCACCACGAAGGACTTTCTGAAGGGTTTATCAATGGGTTTGCAGCTGAGGACACTTTTTTTTCCGTGTAAAAAAAAATGGATGTAGCCTTAAATATAAACATTACTTTAAAAAACACGATAAAGGTTTTGTCAATAGAAGATTTCATCTCTATTTTACTTTAAATGGGATTCTGATCTGCTGCTGCGCTTGCATTTTCTTTTGACGTTCATATATTTTTTAGTTTTTCACAATAAGGTGAGCTTTTACTGCTCTCTCATTTTATGGAAACACGGTCCATTATTTGTTATATTTAAATAACTCAAATTGTTTTAAAAACTTAAAACAACTTTTTTTTAAGTCACTTGTATGCTTAAAACGCAAAAAAGCTCAAAGTAATTGCTCACATTTTTATTTTTACGATTTGTCTCATTTTTATCTTTTATTTCCTTTGCAGTCAGTGTTGAGAAGCTGCTGATGTTTTACTGCAGCAGTAAAAAAAAAAAAACAATCACCCTGAGACCATTGTAAACCCATCACAAATGCCTTCAGTTTCAGGTGCCTTGGTGTATGGAGTACTGCGTTATTTGTGTAATCAATCATCTTGTTCTGTCGTTGGTTTTTTTTTTTTTGCGTCATTAAGGAAAAAAATCTTGTGTGTTGTATTGTGGCGTGTTCTATTCGCCTGAGTTCAAATGCTCTCCTCTGACTCTGTCATCACAGAGACACCCGGAACAAAACACTGACAGCCAATTAGGAAGAACAAAAATCAGGAGGAGTCAGAGGTCAAACAGACGTCTGTAGTTCGAGTTAACTTCGTGTTTGGTTCAAAGGCTTTAATGAAGGGATCAATGTTTGCCCGTTTTTTTTTTTTAAGTTACCAACTCGCTCTCAAATTCACACTTTTTTTTATTTTTTTCCCATCAGGTCACGTCTTTTTCTCAGAGCGCCATGGTGTTTTCTGTTAATGGGGCACAGCAAAAACAAAGAACTAAAGATGCATCACCGCTGGTGTTAAAAAGCTGAATAATGCATATTGTATACATTTTATTTCTCACAGGACGATAAGTTGATTTTGTACAAAGCAGGAGAAAAAAGTTTCCATTCTTTTAGTGGATGTTGAATTGTTCTAAATAATGATCCCAGTTATTTATTAAAGCAGTTTTGACACATAATCAGCCTGTTTGTAATGTTTGGTCTGGACGGACCCGGCTTCAGTCGTGGTGTAGTGGTGTTTTAGGCCAGACTAACAACACTGGACTTTAAATGATGTTTTTTATAACCAGTTTCACGGTCTCAAAACTCTAAACTCTTGGACTGCGTTTTTAGGACTTGCGACTGTGGATGAATGAAATCCAACTTCTATGACTTGGTTTTAGTCCTAACTAGTCAACTGAAACTCTCTTCCAGAACATGGTCTTCAGTGACTTACACTCTGACTTGGAATTTCCTCAGTTTTCTCTTGGATGACTTGGACCAGATTTGAAGCTCAGGTCTCAGTCTTCTTGTAGGACTCGGTCTCTGACTTGAAACCCTGGAGACTCAAACGTCGTGCTCAACCTTCTGAGCAGCGACCTGCACAAACGTCATGCTCAACCTTCTGAGCAGCGACCTGCAGTTGTTGGTCGGATAATTACCAACCAGTTCAGAAAGAAACTCTGACATTTTGAGGGAATCTTCAGCTGTAATTTTTTTTAGTTTATATGGCAGGTTTTTATGTCCAAACCCGCACCAACGTCTGCTCAGTGACTGGACTCTGTAAGACACTGCAGCACCTGCCCTCGCCCCGGTCTTGTGGGCCTTATCGATCCATCCATTTTGCTCACTGACTTCCCCACAGTGTGCTGCCATCCAGCCCTGGTGTTCCTGCTCCCACCAATGAAACCCCAGCCTCCCAGTCTGGGCTGATCCGGTCTCCTCCAATCAGAGCCTGGCGTGATCGTCCTGGTCACGTAGAAGATGTAAATGTTTCATGAGTGATGTTATGATGCAGAGTGGGGAGTAGTAGCTGGAGTAGGGGAGGGGCGGGGAGGGTGGGACAGTTTTATCTCAGACTCCCACGGGTGCCCCTGGCTGCTGCTAATGGGAGCGCACGATGTCGGAAAAGCGAGATCGCCTTACACAGCTCTGAGGGAAGTGGAGGAGTCACAGAAGAAAGAGGGAGAGATGATGTTCACAGACAGACGCAGTAGTAGAATAATATCCAGTAACAGGAGATATTTCTGCTGTGAATCTGTGTTATTTTGTTTCCTAAATTTCTGTTTTTTTTTATTGATCAAAAGCTATCGCTAACCAGCAAAACTGCTGACTATCACAAACGTGGCTTCATACCAGTCGTAACAGGAGCAGACCTCAACATCTACACCGCCCTCCACAACAACTGGAATGCCAAACATGAGCCATGCCTCGTACCAGCATCAGCGGTGGAACGTGTTTACGCCCCCTGTGATGAAGCCAAGGGAGTTACACCAGACGGGCAAC